GCTGCTGTAGATGCTACACTTGTAGTAGTCGTATCTGTAGCTGCTGTAGATGCTACACTTGTAGTAGTCGTATCTGTAGCTGCTGTAGATTGTCCAGCTGCAGTAGTTGTTGTTTATCAGTTGAGAGAGAGAGAGAGAGAGAGAGAGAGAGAGAGAGAGAGAGAATGACTGTCAAATGCGACCCTGCTTCATAATAAATGTGTATGCTTATCTCCATCAAATGAGTATCAACAGCTAATGCCAGCCAGCCTATCGTCATGAGTAATTTGAAGAGACACATACATCTTAACAATACAGCAGCATGAATTAGGGGTCTACACAGTGCCTGAAATGGCCCGGTACTCACCAGCACTTACTACTTATTACCTACTTACTGCCTATCTTGCCTTACTGCCACCTCCTGTTGGCCAAATCTTTTTTGTTTGTTGTGTTAGTTAGGTTTAGGCATGAGGTTTGGTTACAGTTAAAAAAAGAATATCAGGGTAAGCCAATCAGAGTCAAAGTAGATTGGATCATGCCTTGCCCATCCTAGGGAAAATAAATATTGCCACCTGGTAGTCTAGGTGCTCACCCTCAAACACCCGTGTACCTGCGTCTCTGTGTAAACACAAAGCTGAATGCTAAGAAAACATTCCTCAAAATCGCTTTGTTATTCGTAGTCATTGTCAATTTAAATCTGTTGGCTGACATCATATTTTAAGTGGGTTTTATTGTAGCCTATAAAAGCCATATCATATTTGTGTATAACTTGATTTGTATCAATAGCTACATGAAAAGTTTACTTTTATGTACAAACTGTAGAAGTAGTATATGTTGAACGTAGGTTTAATATCTGTAATAAAATACACACAAAAATACATTTGAAGTGGGATGTTTTTCTAAGACATACTTTTAAATATATCCTAGAAGACACATGCGATGATCATGTCATGCAACTGCTGAAGTGACACCTTTTTTGGTCCAGTTCAGGCACTAGGTTTACAGGCTCTGTTTTTTTCTTTACCTAATCATAGCAAAGATAATTACAGCTTAAAGGTCCAGCTGTTCACGATGTGAAACGCTGAGCATTGTGGTTTCATTGTTTTTAAAGTTAATATAATTGGATCATTCGGTTAGTGGCTTCAATAGTAACTGGTGTCACAGTCCATTGCTGCATACATTGATGCTGAGACAGTGAATTTGTGTAATTTACATATTGTCTAAAAATAAAATCCTTAAAAACATTTGCACCGTGTTATGAACAGGGATTTAGAAGAAATTAGGGCTCTCAGATCCAAAAGTGTCAGTTCAATGACACATTTAGAAGCAGTTTATTAGTGTGGGTCGACTCCAAATAACATCCAAACTAAGGGTGAATGAGTCACATTTATACTGAGGATGTAAGGAAATGACTTATCACACTATTTAGGTCCATTCTTATTCCCAAAAACTAAAAATATCTGTTCCTGTTATGATGCAGACCATCATAAAGCTCATTTAGGCTTTAAACATAAAAAGCATGAACCAGACTTGAGGGTTTAAGGGAAACAAAGAGACTTCCTTATTGGAGTAGACTCTTAAAGGATGGTAAGGTAACAACAGTGTCATAATAGGTCAGATTGTCTGCATCAATACAATAGTTAAATATTAACATTTGATGTGCACACAGAACAAATCCTGAGGTCAAAACATAAATGGTTGTTAGGCCAAGGTTGAAGCAATTATGCAAATGTTCCTTCATTTGAACTATTGATTTGTGAATAGCTGGATGACTGGATTTTAAATTTGAAACAAAGCTGAGATAAAACACATTAAATATGAAAACAACGGGCTGTTGAGAGAATAGATACACTGGCATAAGTAGCAATGTTCAGCCCTCAGTTTGCATTATCACTTTCCATTTTTCACCTGCACAGGTATCACTGGATTTAGATTTAATAAACCATACAATACCATAAATCTTTTTTATATCTACTACTATCTAATAAAAGCATATTCAAACAGAGGCTGTGGGATGAAAACATCTCTGCTTTGGGTAGCGACTTATTTAAACCTAAAACCCAATACAAATTTATAAAAACTAAAAAGAGAGAGTAAAAGAGAGCAGTATTTTCCTCAAATGAAGTAAATATTTTTTTTAAATCAGGCGACTTACCAACACAGGCCACAACTAGCCAAAGGACAAAGAACAGTTTGAATTCTGGAGCCATTGGAAAATAACTGACTGACAAAACCTCACCACAAGCAAGAAAGCCAGAGAGGGCTATGACTGGACGGGGGCTTTAGGGCTCAGGTGTTTTAATCATTAGCCACTCCTCCGAGGGCGGCACTGTGTGCTAAAGTACATTTCCCACCCAGAAAACAAGACTCTGTGGGCCTACTTTCTAACAGGCCATTTATCTATCTATCAATCTTCCATGATATAGATCTGTCTCTGTTTGTTTGTTTCTGTTAATGTCCAGGAAGTGTACCAGACATAAGAGCGATATAAAGACCAGGCCAGGCTAAGCCAGGGGTGACTGTAGCTATCATAAACACAACCTGCTGACAATTGTCAATCCAAAGAAGTGCTGGCCATGCTGTTTGTTTAACAAATGATCTTTGGGAAGTGTAGCATGAAATTATCTCAGCAACCACTTACACTAGAGAAGATGCTGAAATAACATCCTCGTTGCTTTCACAAAAAACATAAAAAACGTCAATCTGACGGACTAAGAATTATTACCAGTTCTTTAAAGGTGCTTTAAAAGCTTACAAGCTTTTAACCCTAAATAATCTATTTCGACGTAACCCCAACATTTTCATTAGTAACTGTGATTTAATAAAACATTTTTCTCACTAACTTTAACTGATTACAATTACATTTATTTTGTAACTCCATTATGTAACTGTCTCAAATACTGCCCAACACTGCGTACATCTTTCCTGGCTGAACTTGTCTCCAGCTGAAAACATGTAAAACAAACAGAACAATAAAGAAAAATACTACCTCACTGTAATTAAAAAACAAAAATCTATTTTAAGCTTCTTTCTTAGAGCATATGTCACTTTTTTGGTACACCTTGGACTCTGGCTTCACACGTTACTTATGGAGGGCGTAATGAATGGGAGGGACAAAGATTACAATCCTTGCCAGTCAAATTATGACTTTATGACAGAAAGTGATTCAACCCACTTAGTCTTATCGGAAACTAGGTGGCCAATAAAACTGGGTGGGACAAAGGAGAACAGGACCTTTGATACAAACATGTCTTAAGACGTGAGATAATAAGATCTCGGTGTTAAACAGTTTAACAGCTAAAAAATAAGGTTGACAAGACATCAACATGATAGTTGGAACATTTGGAAAATCAAACACCTTAAGATTGCAAGTGTGAAGTAATGTTTTAAAAACGTTTTTTAAAGTTCAATGAGAACTGAGCTATCATTCCATCACCACCAGTAAAATCATATTATCTCCAAGTTGACTTCGATCCCAGATGCGTATCTGAATTAACGCAGGAATAAAGTCTTGCGCCACTTCCAATGCGTCAGTGGAAAAATGGCTAAAATTGCCCAAAGATAAAAACAGGTATGTTTTAACTGAAGGGGAAATAATTCAAGCACTGGCTTCCATGGGTGTTGATTAATTAAGGCCAAAACAACTAATTGGGTTTATGGTTTAACAGAAACACATCTGTTTACACAATTTGGGGCTTCCACACCAATGTAAAATAACAATACTTATAATAATTTTACAATCTTTTGAAAAATGTCTGGATTGGAATCTCCTCTCACTCTTTGCTTCGTTTAACATCAGTTAACTTAAATCAGTAGAAATAGGCCTAAACTAACCGGGAAACACACAAAACTTATTTTTCATCTGTATGTCTGTAATTAATTACATATGTAAATAGAAAAAAATACCTCATTTAAATCATCAAGGCCATTATGGAATATTAGATTCTATCATTTCCAATTATATTCCTTTACAGAAATCACAATTTTCCTCACAATCCTTTAATAATCGTCAATTTATTCAAAAGGGGAATTTTAAATGTTGTAACTTGGGTTCAGCTTATTATCACATATTTTTAAGCAGTGTGTTTCAGAGCAGATACATGCTCAGCTACATTGATCACCGGCAGGTTTCATGAATATGTTGTCGTGAGTCAACATAGGTGCAATCACAGCGCAATAACTGCCTCTGTGTCCTCTTGCTAACTGTAAGTCCAAAGTCACTTACAGTTATGGCCATCATCAACCGCAACCAACCTGCTGTTCCTGGCAATGATGGTTGTGATTCAATATTGAACATAATGTTCATGATGGGGAGGGAGGGAGACCAATACCAGCTCAGACAAAAAGTGGCAGTGCCACTCATTCCCCTGGAGACCCTTGACTCTGAACTCCAGGCTTCTGCAAGAAGAGAATACACAAAGTAAGCAAGGGCAGAAGGAGGGGAATGGCTTTTCAAACCAATTGCACCGAAACGTCAGGGTTCATTTATAAAAAAAGGGTGACACATAAAAGGATGAGCAACATTAAGTGTGACGTTGCTACTCACCTTTGTACTCAGATCTTGCACAGACGTACAAGCAGTAATACTCTTAAAGTAAAAGTCAACGTACAAAAGTGTTGGTACCAAATGTCTAAATACTTGTTATACAGAATGGCCCATTTCAGACTAAAGTATATTATATTATTACATTATAATTATGGATTAAATCACTTTAGAGGTGTGTGTTTGTGTATATTACATTGTGATTTATTTGTTTATTATATTTTCTATTATTCATCGTAACATGCAAAGTAAGTTATCAAATGGAGTAAAAAGTACAATATTGAAATGTCGTGGAGTAGAAATATAAAGTAGCAGAAAATTAAAATACAAGTTTCTCATAATTGTACTTAGATCCAGTAATTGAGTATTACTTTTTACGTTGAATGTCAATGTTTTTATACTTGCACTATGGTTTAGATTCGGGCAAGATCGTGGTTACGGCAAATAAACTAAGGTCGACGTCCTCTACTTTATGTCTGGAGATCCTAAGTGGTGGGAAACAGCTCCATCCTCAGGCTGCAGGCCCTCGTGTCCAAAACGATAAGATGATTCAACATCGCATTAAAAACCTTTTATCCCCGCAGGGATCACATGACATACTGTAAACTGCAAAGTAGAAGCAAGGTGCCGGCATAAGAATGCAAGTCAGTGTTATCCAGTGGCTTCTGTGTCTGTTAAAGCTCAAGCTTCAAATGCATAAAGAGATTTTTTAAACCCCTAATTTATGTATTTTGGAGCAAGTAAATTGCAATAAACTCTTTAAAAGTGTACTTAACTGTCAATGTATAACGAATTAAATTCACTCAAGTACTGTGGCCCACTTACGTACAATTTTGATGTACTTATTAACTTGAGACGACATGTTATGCTACTTTATACTTCTTCTCCACAACATGGAGGGAAATGTAGTTTTTTTTATCCTACCCGAGGCACTGGCGGTATAGGCACATGCAGGCATCCTTTTACTCAGGCATATGGAGAATAACCTACATCATTTTGATAATGTCCTTCCAGACAGAGTTATGTTCAACAGGAATCTGTGCTTTTAAGCTATTTCTAAATTCAGTTTCAGCTACTTATACATTTATATCCACAACTTTGGCAACCTTTTTCTTGCTGTGTCTCAGTTTCTTGAGGAATCAATCACACGCCTCATACTTTTTTTTTGTAACAAAAAGATTTTATTGGCTTCTCTAATCCGTTCATCATCTCAATAACAGGTACAGCCTGGGAAATCATATCACAACGGGTCTAGAACAAATAAGACAAAGGGATGGGGGAGGCCTCTGCTACAAAATTTGGTATTGAGGTGACAGAAAAAAAAAAAAAGCCATACAAAAATGTCTTTATCATGCATACTGGAGAAAAACTCAAAAAGAAATTGAGAACACACATTTTTAGTGTTTTTTGTACATTTTTGTAAACAATATCCTTCTAGAGATCATATCAAAACACATTATGGCAAGTAACAAAAATAAGGGATATAATTGAGAAAGATGAATGTTCTATGAGGCATCTAGAATGCAACACTGCTTGGCGTGGATGCTTTAACAGAAAAAAAAAAAAAAAAAATACATTTGCATTTTGACAAGTCATTTGCTCTCTAACTGTAAACACAGGCAGTGTTACATGATTATACAATATGTCGAAACCTATACTACAAATATTTCCACTACATACATGAAACGCGTGTCCCTGCTTTCTTACGCTTTAGTGATATGAGGTATATTTAGGTCAATCTTATTGTCTTTTTTTTTTTTTTTTTTCTTCTTCTTTCTCTCCGTCTCTCAGCCACTCGTTTTCTCTCCTAAGCATAGTGTGTGTTTCGAGTGAGGTGGCCGGTCGGTCAGTCTTTGTTCCCCGTGATCTGAGCAGCTTCAAAGTCTCTCGGCTGTGGAGCTCACAGACGTAGGAAAGGGAAAGGGGTCACAGGAACTCAACTCAATTAAATATCAACCCAGGCTGCCGGGATAGAATGGCTTCAGCCACGAAAGACAAAGAAGGCCATTGTGTATTCTTGTGAGTGCAGGGCTGCATTTTGGGGCGAGGGGGTGGGGTATAACTTAACGTTCCTGTTTCTTAACTGTATTATTGAAGCAGTTTCTTGCAATTACTACAACAGTGAGGTTAAAGAAAATCATACCAAAAAAAAAAAAGGTGGGTAGGGGTGCAGGTCCGGTGATTATTTGCCAAAAATATCTGCTCCCGAGTTCTGTTGTGGCTAGTGGAGAATAAATAGAAAGGGTTTGGTGTGCATCCAACACACCCGGGGGTTCAACGGTACAAGGGTTCCAGCATGTCAGCCCGTTTCTCAAAACACTTAAATACAAAGAGGTACTCTCAAAATATTGTATAACAAAATTATGGCAAATCATCTTTTTACAACATCACCCGACAAACCGTAAGAAAAGAAACCCCCCCCCCCCCCCCCTTCTCTTCTACCCTTAAAAAGCAACAAAATACATTTAGATGCCCGTGATCATGCCTAGTCAACCCCTATCAAACCCCATCAGACAATAATCCTCCCTCCCACCTTCCCTCCCAAGCCCAGTTCACAGTTTTCTCCTCTTAAAATAATAGTAAGTATCAGCATAATAATCACGTATCACATATGCAAATTGAATGGGTTGTTGTTGCTTCCAATGATGATTTGTTTAAAAAAAGTGCTTGTTTGATTCCATTGACACAAAAGAAAAAAAAAAGGAACGGGAAGGAGTGGAGTAGAAAAGTG